AAGAATGTATGTGTGTGTGTATTTGCTTTGCATTATTTTGCTTTTATTTGCCATAAGTATACGTGAAATTATTGATCTTGCTATTATACATATTAATAAAGCAAATATCATCATATTGTAGATAATCATTAAAATTATATATATATCGCAAACATTTTAACGCAATTAGTCTTAATCACTGAAGGTCAAAAATCAAGTAATCTAAAATAACAGCACAAGATATATCTATGCCTGAGCTAGATCGTGTTTTATTGTCAGATTATAACAACAAAAAATAGTTTTTCTGTAAAATAAAAAGTTGGGATAGAAAAAAAATCTACAAGATCGTTAGATTTCTGAATTTTCTTTGCGAGAAAACATTGTGCACTCCTTAAGTATTAAGTCGCTCTCAACTATCGAGGTTGAACTGCGCTCGATTGCTCGGAGAAATCCTTCGCAGCTCTGCTCTGAAATCAGCGGTGCCTGATTTATGCGTCTTCCCACGTGTCTCACAAATTTCCCGGCAACCTTCGAATTTCCTGCTGCGACCACGTAATCCAACGAAAGCGGGTTTGACTTCGTCCACGCCCGGACATACGTCGGCGGATCGTTTCGGCCAGCGTCATCGCGGTTAAGATCGAATTGGCAGCTTCGATCTCGCCCTGCTTTACGAGAGAGCGGCCGGTGTCGAACGTGCTCTGGGAATTTATGATTTCAACGAAAATACATTCCGCCGGCGTTTTCCGGGCCGGGTCAGTTCCGGATTAAAACTTTCCCGTGACCGTACGAAGCGTGGAACGTTAACTGAGATTGAAACTAATTGCAGAATTAAAAGGAAGTTTTTGAAAGTTGATCCTGCATTTATGTAACTAAGGTCGATTATGTAAAGAGTCTCGAATTAGTTAGAATAATTAATGCTCTTTCGTTATATGATAAAGCAAATGCCTTAATTCCATAACGTCTCAGTTTTTCTGCCTACATATGATTTTTTCTTATTTCAGAGAAGGTTCTTTTTAAAGAATAATTTTTCTTGTGCTATAATTTGATGGATATTTCTCGTGCGCGACAAATTTTTAAATGATGGCAACTGACAATAGCTGAAACGATCAGACATCCATCAAATCATCGACTCTCTGAGGTTTCAAGCCGTTGGTAACTGTAGCTCACGATCCTTTCAACCGACCATACGTCACGTAACATACATCGAACGCTTCGCTTCGGTGCTTTCGAAGCGTAATCCCTCGAGTGTATAGCGCGCGAATGCGAGTCAATTTTTGCGACAAAAGTCCGGTCGAACAACACGCGGCTGCACCCGGTGGAATGTGACCCTTATAGTGGCCCGAATTACTCTTTCGGTGACAAAACCTGCACATTTTCGCTACTCATAGCGCGCTACATTCGACCCAATCAAAAAGAGCCGAAGGCTTTACTATATTGTTGACCGAGCTCGGTTGAGGTTTGGATGTAATTTATCCGCATCGTGGCTGCAATGTGTACCATCACGTAATTAATTATCTTAAATATATGATAATATAGTTTATCACCAGCAAACATGTTGCGTTCTATACTAGTAAATATTAGTCTCTCTCAATATTCTCGTATCCTAAACTGTATACCCACACAGCGGCTTTGTAACTGCGATAAAACAACACATCTGGCCGACCGAGATAATTACTTGGTAACCGCCGGCTATCAATGTTTTAAATAATAAAACGTATCATATAAACGCGTGTACCGCCATTCACTGCATCCTGATAGCAGTTACTTTAAACGTACATTTCTCATACTATAGAATAGAGATGTTGCAACGTGCACTAGCTTCTCTTTCACCTAATTCTCTTTGAACGGCATTATACGAAACGGGGCAAAAACCTCTTCTTTGTTCTGGCACGTTGTCCTCGCACAACAAGCGAGAGTTACAACGTTGTAACCGCACGATACGCCAGGTGCACTAACACACACGTGTGCGCGGCAGTGCCGTGTATCCGCTTCACGGGCCACAGGTTATAACTTTGCGAGCGAAAACGCTGCGTACTATACAACCTCGCGCCGCGCCGCGCCGCGTCATATCCGTGCGCCAGCGATTTTTGGACCTGCTGTTTTATCGACAAGTCCGTCCGTTATTTATTATTCTCCGGTTATTGATCAGCGCGAATCACCGTAGCACCCTTGTAAAACTCGGTCGCGGGATATGAAAGCGCTCGTCGCGACGATGACAAATTATTTTAGTATGAAACGGCTGCGCTTTAGCTTCACCTGACGCTCACGTCGTGTAAATCAAAATAGACAACATGACATAAAATCAAAATTTATTAAAAAACAAAAGTCCCGATTAATTATTTAATAACATGAACTTAATAAAAACTAATATTTTAAGATTTATATAATCTAACAAGAGAATTATTTCGTTGTTAAATTTATGGTAAAAAATCGTCACATCGAATATGATGCGTTTAATCGATATATTTAAGCTCGACTTACGCGACGTCGATATTGACTATTAATGAATATTGACTATTATCGGAGCGTGTGTTCCGTCATTTGATATCTTGAATATAATATCGCGTTGTCCTCTCTACGTGCGATGCTATTCGGCGTCCAATAATAATTAAACGTTGCGCGGTATTTGTGTAGGAAGCGGCGTGGCGGCTCTGAGCGACGCTGTTCTCGTTATAGAAAAGTTTTCATTTCCCGTCGGAGCGTTTCCTGAACTGTTTCCTGATCGTGACCTTTTGCATCCGACTGAATGGTGCACGCGCGTATCAGGGTATTGATAACGCGGCTCACGGGAGTAGGTATATAATGCTTTTGTCATTGCACGCCAAGAGCGCGAGCAACAATCAATCGATTTTCGATGAAATACAATTTGTTACCTTGATACGAATTACACCTAAGGAGGAATCGCGCTGACGCTTGCACGCACGTCTTCGCGAACGCTCGCGTCGCGCGCCACCCCGTTGCTCGCGTATCGATTGCACACGCCTGTTCTACCTGTTATTAAATGGATCGGAGCAGAGAACGTCGAACCAGCAAATTGATTCATTTGTCACTGATAAACGTAGCAGGAAAGGAAATATAATAGTGCGCCGCAACTAATGTCGACGGTCTTATGATCGTTCTTTTCTTTTTTTTTTCGATTAGATATAAACGTGTATAAATATGCTATCTAAATTTAAAAAACAACATTATTTATAATTACAATAAAATATACATATATTATAATAAAATATATTATACATAAAAATTAAGTACACAAATTATAAGTTATACTAATAATGTTTACAATATATTAATTATAAAAAATGTTAAGCAAGAGCTTAAACATTATCAGTAGATAAAATTGAAAAACTCGAGGAATACTACAAGAATTTATGTAAATTTGGTAAGAAAATTGACTTGCTTAAACTTTGTAAACTTCAAATCTTATTCAAACGATTCGACGGTTAACTGCCAAAGTTCACGCTAGTCCCGTAAAATAAGCGAAATGTTACGCAATTTCCGTATATATTTCTTGGCTCCTGCGTGTCCCGATTTATGCAAGTAGAAATACGCAAAAGAGTATAAAAACTTCAAGTATATATTCACTTTAGGTACTTTGAGCTTTAGAGCTTTTGTTTTTTCATGTTTATCTTGACACACAGTAATATAAGTTTAGTTTTTAATAAATATTTTATTTATAAAAACTATTATTAAGATAATTTTTAAACTGTGTATTTTCAAGGTAAGTTCTAAGATCGCCATATAATCGGGAATGTCGTCGGTAATTAGCGAGCAATCTAACGCTAATATCAGCAAAATAACTGTTGTTAGCGCGCGCAAACACGATGGAATGTTAAGCTCGCAAAACATATTCTCTCTAAACTGACCCACATGCAAAACACCGTCAGTGGGTAAAGAACTACAGTCATGCAAGCTCGCCTATTCCGAAACAGCCTCTACTCCCAAGCAGCCGATTAATCTGTGATCTGTGTCTTACCCGCAGATAGGACACAAATGCTTGTAAGCTTATCTTGTTCTGCCTACCAATCGATATCTGAGTTTAGACGCTAGCGGCGTTAGTCGAAATCTACCATGGCCATGATAACGTCAACAATGGTCACCACAATATCGCAATGTGATATACTTGGATACATTGTATCGTTTTTAAACGACAAAAAATACTATTCACGAAATACTTTTTGATTTGAATCTCACGTAGTAAAATTATAAATAAATATACATATATAATATCTTGCGCGGCTATGTAAGAAGATTTGCATTGTGATAACACACAGCAGTTTCCAAACATATTAACGTTGCCGGGTATTTATAAAAGCTGCTTGCCTTGCGTTTTGCTCAATAATACATGATTATACGAGATGCGCGGCAAGAGAGGAGCGGTTGTAGGAGGTTATTTCCACATAATAGAACATAGTACGTAGATTTAATAATGCTGATGTAAACTTGTACATAAAGCAGCACGGCGCCGGTGTGTGTTTTGATTTAACAATAATGAAAATCGTAGATCTATGAGCGTTATATCGCAGCATAAAAAGAGAAGCGCCAGCTAACACAACACGATATCGTATTCTCGCTTCGTGAGAATTTAGGTTTTAGCTAAAAACTTTAGCCATTTAAAGCCGTAGTTTACAGAGATAAGACTATATATTTTACGTAAAGTAGAAGAGCTATTGGACAACCACATTCAACGGAGTAAATGAGCGCCGAGAAGACGGACCTTTAATTTTATAAACGGTCGCGACGACATCTCGCCAAAGTTCCGCCTTCTCTCGCCGCAAATGGCCTCCGACCTGAAAGCATGAAATAATTTCAGTCACTTCAATGTCCAACTCGAAACCGGAGAAATGTGAAATACGAGAAAAGACGAATTGCTCGATGAGTTTACGTTTCGTCGCGAGCCGACAAAAGACTCGGAGTGCTCTCTCTGCACAAACGAAAGACGGTTAATGAGTTTCGCGACTTAGTTATGGACTACGCTAATTTCTGACGTTGACGTTTCCTCTGTGTTGTATGTTACGCAGGTACGTTCACTCGCGATCAGAGAGTCTTAAGCGGAGGTCTTCAGGGAAGTCGCAACGTCAGCAACGCGCCGGCATTCGACGAAACGAACGTGCCACGAAATGTCACTACCGCGGTCGGTCAGACTGCCTTTCTTCATTGCAGAGTTCATCAACTGGGCGACAAGGAGGTGAGTGACAGCATAATTCCTGGCATTTCACGGCTCGCTCTCGTCGAGACAACTCGCTAATTACACCGAGTAAATTCGCGTCCGACGGTATTACGGCGAAAGCTTGTGCGTGAAAATTGACTTTTCCGTAAATAAACGTGTAACTGTTCGCGTTACACCAGTTTTGCTCATTGCAATCTGCGTACGCATCTTGGGAAAAAGGGAATGAGTGGATTAATGTATTTAATTCCAAAACGTACGCTCACATATAACTCGACACGTGCTTTGCAGTCTGCTACAAATTGACGTAACACAAAAAAGAATGATTAAACCATACTTGTAAGATGTAAAATTCTGTAAAATTCTGTGTTAAAAAATGTTCAATTATAGGCCAATTTAAAATCTAATAAATTTTCTTGTTTGACAATAAAATTAATTTTATAAATTCATACATTGTGTTCTCATTCATTTTAAGTGTTGACTTTGCCAGCAACAAAAGTACTTCTTAAGGCAACGAGCGTAACATTAAAAAAACCTTGAGTGATTTCTTGAGAAAGTTCATAGTTTTTTAGTAGCGACTCTTAAGTGCTGCATAGAATATCAGATAAAAAAAAATCATTTTACAATATCCTCGATGCGCGTCAAAGATAGAACGACGTTGCTGTTGCGGTTATGGTTGCTTCATCGTTTTTCAAAATTTCCAATCCCGGGCATACCTCTCTGTCCGGGCTGTATAGATTCAAGTAGAGCTGCTGGGTTAACATTACCGCAAGGTTGGCCTGCGGTTTTTGGTTAGGTCGTTGATAGAATATGCATGACACGCCTGTTTGAAGAGCTAAATCTGCTCAAAGGCGAATGGAGGTATGCCAGCTATTATCTTTGCGGATTTTTGACTCAGACTACAAAATTGATTGACACTTAATTAAATTGGAAACAGTTTCACGCGTGTCACTTGAAATTATGTCCTATCTTTTGTTCGTGAAATCAACTGGTCGTTGTACATTTTACTGCAAATCACGAAAACTGTTAAACCTATAAAAATTCAACACGAGAAATAACTATGCGTAAAACCGTTGACATTAAGAAATTAATAATCAATTATGTAACACGTCGATTACAGCAGTTTCAACATGATTTTTCTTGTGCGCGCCGTTAGGTTTACTATTTAATCAAGTCGCGCAATCTTCAAGTTAGTTTCCGCAACGAGAGTTTCCGGAGAACATGCGAAGATTTGATATTTCGTGAAGTTTCAGCCAATGCCTAGTTCGCGGGAGTTTACGTCGGTAGGGATATATCGACATTACCTGCATAACAAGAAGGAGAGAGAGAGAGAGTTCCGATATTACGTAATTCAACAAATACCAATATCGTTGTGCGCGGAATTACTCAAAGTTTCGGTTTGGAATATTGAGTTTATTGCATTAAATACCGAACGTGCACGCTTAAAATATCACAAGTTTTCTGTAAAATACACTCAATCGAAATTAAAATTGATTGTACAACTAGCGTAATTCAAATAGTTTTAATTGATCATTCTTATGTTTTGCGATGGGAGTAGCTTAGCTTTTGCTCGGGAATGTTCTCTTTTACGGTTAAATTGTTGCAAAATGTCTTACACTATCGTGGAAAGGGGCAGCTGGACTGATTACTCGTTAACGACGCAATTATTCATTTGTGGGTCAATAACGTGAGGTTCAGCTATTTCCAAGGGAAAGGGAGACAGGAGACGAAGGGATAGTCTCTACCACGCATCACTGATAACTTGCAAACGCTACGATCGTTTTCATTTCGATAATTACTAGCTAACTGCGACTGAACTACAACGAGATTTGTATGTATCACGCAAGAAATCGTACCGGAATTTCGGAAGTGTATGATCTTGTTGTTTACAACGTAATGAAAAAAAGAATATAAAAATATATTAATTAGAATTCACACACTACTACACGCTTCAATCAAAGAAATTTTTTAATGGATTTAGCGAATTTATAATTTAAAGTACCACTTTGTTTCTTCGTGGAAAATATTAAGCGACAGGATCAAAGGTAATCTTGTCGCGTTGTGCGTTTCGTACGTGGTTTGACGCGCAGAAAGTGCATACATATACATACATATTATATACAGAGTATCGCGGGGCAAATGTTTGAAGTAACAGAAGAGCTAACTGAGACATTCGCGTCAGTCCTTTTCCCGACTTAGCAAAGCTGTTACAACAACGTATCTCAAAAGTAGTTGTAAGCTCAGCTTTCCATTCTCAACATTAACATGTTGTTTGTGTGAAACGTATACTTGTAGTTGGAAATATTTACGAAATACACCACCAATGAAATTTTATCCTAGGTGAAAAAGCGCAGTTTTAATGCAGCCGACGGCTAGATAATCAAGGGAAAAAGCAGCGTAGTATTTCCGGCACTTGTGTAAAGCTGCAATCGTTCTCGCGCTCACGTACGCGTCTAGTGACATTCTCGGTGCATCTCGAAAGTTAGCGAGTCGTGTTTACGCTGACACATTGTGTCAGTGCTTCAGTCCAACTCGAAATCGGGACATTTACTATGTTCGCACGTGCGCCGAAAGCAACTTGATACCGCCATATGTGGCTTATACGGGGTGCCCATCCGTAAAATGAAAACGCAACATTTGCATTGCTAATTCCGTGCGTGCTGTTACATTACGCGTTTGTTGACCCAGAATAATATTTCAAAGAGAGAAGTCATCGACCTGGTCTCTATTACAGAGTATATTCACCTGTATTTCAAATTACAAAGGCAAATGGAAAAAGTTAAATTGACGCAAATCAAATCGTAAAAAATTTCGATTTTCCGACATTCTAACTCCAAACAACCGCACTTGAAATTTTATTCCGATTTTAGTCGGAAAACTTGTAATCTTTCTTCTTTCTTTTTCTTTTATCAAAAATGTCTAAAAGTTTTCGAGATTTATGTCATATAATCCAGTCGTATAAACGATCTTTTTTCCGGAATCGATTTACTCGAAGGAAGATGAATTCGGACGAATGTGCTGGTTTTCCGTTTCGGAATTCCACACGATCAAGATCTAAATCGATGAGACGTCACTGTATCCAGAGTAATAGAAAAAAGTGGATCAGTTGACCGTTTTGGAAGAGCCCACACGGTTCTTTTCTCAACTTGAATAAGCATCGCGTTGAGGAACGAAGATGTCATTCATCCCTAGCCGGGTTTTGAAGATTTATGCGCGACCTTGCGAACAAGAAGGGAAAACCGGATCTCCGATGTGGACGATCATTACTGTTACGGCTTTGTTTGAGTAGCAAAGCGACCCGCGCTGCAAAATACCGCATTGTAGATCCCGCGACCAAAGTCTGATGGGACGACTAGCGAGATCAGCGAGATGCGGAACCGAGCCTTATCTCCTTTGCCGTTCTTCCGAACGACAAAGCTAATACGCTTTTGATAGTCCATTAAGGGTATTTCAAGCAGAAAATTTTGTTACTCTACATTTTGAGATGAATCTAGTCATTTCGCGAGCTTGTTAGCACACTTTATATACGTGGGAGTATCCACGATATTTCAAGTTATATCGATATTTATAGTGATAATTTTTATTGACAGTGTTTCAAATAATACATCTTATTAAGTAAAGAGTTACTATGTAAACTAAGCATACATGTTGGAAGCATATGTTGGCGTACTTCGATACTATGCTAATGTAATTACAGTAACAGTACGTATATCGATTAGCTTTATTTCGAATATTGTCACGTACACTTAAGTACGGTACACTTGTAATAATCTTATTGTGTTTCTATTTAATAGTGCCGGTAGATACGCGTTTAAACCTTCCTGCTAGCTGTACTGACCAAAGTACTTTTGCGTGTAACAAGCATGACATGATTGTTACATTTATCGTTGCGCAAATGTGCAAAAAGCAAATGTACACAATAATGCAAAGAAAAAATTAATTAAATATCATCTAATAAAATTGAAAAATACAATTTAATATATCTGTGTATTAATAAATAACATTGTTTACATGTCTATATTTTGTACATCGATCGGTGTTTTATTAGTTAAGATAAAATTTGTAGAACGTTGCGCACTGAGATGGTTAATGGTAATTTCGCACGAAACTCCTTCGTATCTAGCAAACACGAAGATGATATAGCCTCCTTAAGGCATAGACGCTTCTAATAGCTTGCAATTTGAAATCGATCCCTCAGGGGTAGATCGACGGAATTAATTGAATATTCGAAATTCCCAATCAGGCGGCGATAATCGCGATTCGATCGCGCGCCGCTTATGGTTAGCGAATAAATTAAATCTCGATATGAAAAAGGGACGACGCGGGATAAAAGAGAGAAAACTGCTGCGTTTAATCCGAACAATTGCTTTTCCAATACCAAACATTTAGCTTCGCACGTATCTCGATTTCGTACTTCTTTCTCTACTGGTGACCACGGCATCCGCTTCTCCCTCTCTCTTATATTTATTTATTATTGTTTCCACCTCTTTTATGGCATAACGATTGGAGCACGGAACGATCCGATAAAATTGCAAAACAACTTCGGGTGATTGCGCAGATTTCGCGTTTTGCTGTTAAAACTATACGCGGAAAAAGAGCAATTTTAAATATCTCTTTTTCCTATTCTATGAGAGATGAGATTTAAAATTTTTCTATTTTACGTTCTTCTTTTATCGCAGTATATGCAATGTGTTTATCTCTGCTTTTTCCGTGCAATAATAATTATAATGTCAGTAATTTTATTATATATCATCATTTATTCAAATATATTAACAGCTCTGAATTAAATGATCGATATTACACTGGAAAAGTAGAATTATTATGAACACGAGTGATATATTACGTATGATATGAGCATTAAAAGTAATATAAACGAACAACTATAATCATTCAAAGAGAATATAATCTTGGTATCTGGGATTCATTTTATCACAATTATACACATATAGAGTGTGCAAAGCAAAAGAAAAAAATCAAGCAGGAAAAGATCGGACCATATTTATTCATTTTATTCTGACATT